AAAAAAATGACTAGAATCACAATGGAACTGAAAAAAGAGATTGTTGAGAAATATGAAGGTGGCACGCGTGTTCGAGATTTAACAAGATTTAACTGTTGCATTCAGTATTCTGAGAATGACGACATCGACAATCGTGAAAAATAAAGACATTATTAAATTTGCTAACGTTGCGAAAGGGGTTAAATCAATTTCTAAACAGAGATCGAAGACATTAGATCATGTCGAGAAATTGCTTTTGCTTTGGATAACTGAAAAACAGTGTGCTGGCGACAGCGTATCGGAAGAAATTATTTGCGAGAAAGTTAAAAGGATACATGCTGATCTCATGAAAAATCAAGCAGAAACTAGCAAGGAAAGGGAGGTGTTTAAAGCCAGCCATTTTTTTTACATGAGAATGGATTAATTATTTTACATTACTTCTTATGGAAAAGGTTGGTTTGGTATACGTCCTATTTGGTATAAGTCCAAACACCAGGAACGGATTAAGGTTCTATACCGAGGTTCCACTGTATATTTAAATAATTAGCAGTAAAATTATGATTAAGAACAATTGCTTTAGTTTTTTACAAAATCAAAACAAAACAATTCTTATTTAGTATAAATATTCAGAATATCAACACAGATTTGGTGAGAAAATTAAAGAATAAAATTAATATTAGAGATACAACATATACATAAACACAGCTTTAGTATAAAATACATAAGAAATGAATATAAATGCCAATTAAAACATAAATATGTTTAATTATTTTAAAAGTTTTAAGAGTTTATAAATAAATTAAAAATAAAAAACTACTTAAAAACCCCCATAAATTAATTAAAAAGAGACATCAGTAAAAAAAAAAATACTGTAATTAAGTTTATATTTTGACAAGTTGCATTAGAACTTTTTAAGATGTGATTTAGAAAAGTATACTTTTTTAAACATCTTATAAAAATGTCTAAATTTTGATTTGGGGAAGTTTTATTTTCATCATCTTATACTGCTGAAGGATTTTCAAACTAACATGTAAAAAATAAATATGGAATAATTTATTTATATTTCTTTAAAGTCATTTTTAGAATTGTTGTCTAAAATCAATCTGTTTAAATCTATATGATGAAAGTTGTTTCTAGAAGCTTTTTAAATTTAAAATGTAAATCAAATAAGTTGTTCATATTAAACTTTAAAATTTCAAAAAACAAATTTAAATTTTAGGAAAATACGGTATATATAACTAAACATATTTATTATATAAAAACACAAAGAAATATTACTCAATTCAGTTATTACAACACAAATGTAATTTTATTACTATTAACTTAATAATATTACTTTGAATTGAGTAATTTAAAATCATTAATAAAATTAAGAGATTTAGCAGTTAAATAAAATGGAACAGTATAAGAATTACAATCAATTTTCCACATCATATAATTTTAATAAATCTTACTTGATGTTCTAAAATTATTTTCTTTTTTATAGTCATGTGAGGAGAAATTAAACTGATCTTCTTTTTCTGTTGAACCAAACGACATTGATATGTTGCATAGATACCCACAGCACTAATGAAAATTGAAATTACAACTGATACGATAATCCATATTGATGTATAACTAATATTTCCAGATAGATCATTGTAATGTGCATTATCCATTTCATTTTCAGCTATATTAACAACAAAATAAACAATGAGTTATAAGTAAAATATAACCATACATACACATGCATAATCATATGTATAATATCAGGTAACAAAAATAATTTCATTTTTTCAAATATGGAAAAATAGCTATATTTTTTTTATTTAAAATAATTTTATTCATCAAAATATTCACATTCAATTATACTTTCCCAATAGAAGGAAAGTCTGAAAATACCATTTTTAGCTTGAGTTACTTCCTCTTTTATAGCTGTGTATTTGTAAATTGTTTTCAACACACATGATTATCTGAAGATAAAAAATATAGTAATTGGACAGAGATAAGTCAGCAGAATAGGAAGGATGGGGTAAAAGTTCCCATCCTAATTGCATTATTTTGTTTGTTGTAATTGCTGAAATGTAGGAGTGAGTATTACATTGTGAAAACAAAAATACCATGATGATTTACCATAGATGACTGTTTTAGCATTAATTTATCATGTATTCTTTGTAGCTTCTCACTGTACAAATTTCCTGAGTTTCACCAATATTCAAGTACTTGCAATAAACAGATTTTTTTGGAAGTCATTCAAATCATTTATAAACAAATCTAGCAATGAGTTGCATAACTTTCCCAGCTGTTATGAGACTTATGTGAAAAGACTTAATTTTGAGAGTAGAGATTTGTTTTATAAAGAACCATAAATGCTAACAAGTAAAATCTTCCCTACGCAAGGTATGACACATTACCACACTCTCTCTCCATCCCCTTGACTTTTCACAACCAAAATTAAATAGCATCAATGTCCCCTATATAGAAGTTACTGTGCCAAATTTTGTTACTTAATGTTCACCCATCCTGAAATATTAAACAAAATAGATGCCAACACAGACATATCCACAGAATATGTTTTGCCTTTTTGGGTTCAGGGGATCTCAAAACATGGAGATTTGCAAAAAAACTCAAGAGTAAAATTTGACAAAATTGTAATACTTTCCCTTGTTATATATACATAACAACCACAAAAGTAAAATATTATTTTTACACTACCCTCCTATTGACAAAGTGTAATTGAATGTGAAGGTAAATATTTTGATGAATAAAATTAGTTTAAACAAAAAATACAATCATTTTTATTCACATTTCAAAAACATTACTGTAAGGTCTCGTTTTATGCGGATTCTTTTTATGCGATTTTGAAGTTGTATGGTTTGTATTTCATCCAAATTTTTTTTGGACAAACATACATATAGGCTTGTTTAGGAAGCCCGCGTATAGACAGTCTCCAAAAATCGTGGGACGCTCAAAGCTCACTCCATTTGTTCCACTGACATATAACCTTTATGGATGTAAAGGACAGCTAGATCTACCTTAATCGCTTTAGTTCCTAGCAATTTTTGATATAAATGTAATTAAACATAAAAAATACTTAAAACTGAAAAAAACGAAAGAAATGTGTTAATTTTGAAGAAAAAGCTTCAAAGTTTAACTTCCTTTGTCTTGCCCTTCTGTGAAATTTAACACCNTAGAAAAAGCCTAACATAATTTAATTATGTTTATATATGTATATATGTATTTGAAAGTTACAATTTTAAAAGATAAATTATTATTTGTATTATAATTTTTTGTTTAGCTAAATATTTATTCATTCTTTAAATTCTTTTAAAAAAAAGATTTTTGTTTGAAAATCAATAGATATAATGTTATGACATCATATTCACTTTCATCTGGTATTACAGCCAAATCTATCAAAATGAATCAGCTGTTGTATAAATAATTTTAATTTTTAAAAAAGTGTAGGATTCTAAAGTAAAAATATAAATGTTTAATCTGTGTTAAAAAATAAAAAAATAGAATACAGAATATCTCACAGACAGTATGCAAGATAAATTCGAGATTTCTTGCATATGTGCAAAATGAATACTGAAAATTATTAAGACAAAGTGGTTTCTAATCCTTTTGTCTATATTCATCTTGGTCTCCAGAGTAACAGATACAAAAATAAGATTGATATTATCCATCAAAAGAAATTTTCATGAATGAGTGAAAATTTATTGTGAAGTGTATAATATTCAAGGACATATCAAATAAAGCTAAAAGATAAGAAAAAAACAGAACAGATTTGATGATGGCAATTTTTTTAAAACAAAAACTTATTAAAAGATCTCATCATTTGAATAGAATCTTTTAATTTTATTAATGGAATAGTTTAGTATTAAATCCAATTTAAAAACGAAATTGTTATACATGAAAAATTTATATTCATTTTTAATTGTTTAAATATTATACTAACCTTTCCCTTGGAAATTCCCAATTCGGATCTAAAGGAACTTCATATTCTGAAATTGTGATAAATTCCGATAGAGAATCACGTGGAATATCTATTTTTACAATGGGTGCTAGTGAAGAATCTGTATCCTGAAAAAGTTTATTTTAATATCTATGAACATATTTTTTCCTAGCTATTTTAATGTTTATAATATGATTTTCTTTATTTCACAGTTTATTTTATTAGTTATACAATAAAACAATTTCTAGACTATGATTTTGTATTCTAAACATTTGGGCATACTTATATTAACTCTTGCCATTTCAAAAAGGTCAGTTTCAATCACATCACTTTCAACTAAAATCAAATCAATCACTCCTTTCAAATAAAATCAAATCAATCACTCCTTTCAAATAAAATCAAATCAATCACTCCTTTCAGGTATCCCTTGATTAATGCGATTAATTAATCCCTCGATGCTACTGTATATATCCAAATCATATTAATCAAATACAGTGGTACATTGGTACTCGACTGAACAATCCTGATCCACTAAAACAAAATTTTCAGTTAATAAATATTTTTAGTTTAATTTTGTCATCCTTAAGAAAAGTTTTCTATGATAAAAATGTGTAACTAATTTAAAAATAAAATTAAATCTTACAACTGCCTACCTTCATCAGACAAAATTATACTCAGTCCAGTTTGTTTTTTTTTTTATTCTTGTATGCAAAACACAATCATCGTGTCAGTGATACACTAAGATTTGTTACAAGTTCAAGAGTTGTTACTCATTGATTTTTAACAATTTCTTCCTGAAATTTTGTCCACAGCTTTTGGGAGGCCCATATGTTTTGTATCTTTACTTCAAAATTTCCTGAACAACACTTTCAAATCCACATTTGACATGCCTAGCATTTCGAGCATCTTCCCAATACACACTGAGTACCTTTTACTGTTTATATAGCATTATATCCCTTATAAAACATATCAAACATATTATGTATGCTTTTTATGTATTTTATCTGCAGACATTTTGATTTGATTTTATGCAAACAAAATGTGAATAAAGTTTTAAAATAAGCTTCTGAACACAGAATACAATATAACATTAGCAGTAATGTGTAAAATTTCACAACTATGATAATTAAATACACATCTATATCAAAAATCACCCTAAGCAGAAAATAGCAAATTCACCAACACCTTATTTGCTGAAAAAAACATTACGTTAAATAAAGATAGCTGTTAAAGCAGCATTAATTAAAATTCCCACCACATTTATAAAGGGATTGCTGCAATTAATTTCATGTGTTAACCAGAACCGCATTAAGCAAGGAATACCTGTTGGTGTAGGAGAATATTTTAAAATATTCTCCCACACTTCAATTATTCTTTATGTACAATTTTGATTTATCAGAATGAAGTTGAAATTCATCATAAATGTTAATAGTTGCCAATATGTTTTTTTTCTTTGTTACTTTGAACTTGATCATAATATATATATATATAATAAAAATATAATTAATAAGAATAGAAATTTCAGCATTTTATTAGCTACTATTTTTATATGTATTATTCATACATTTAAATTTTTGTAAATGACCTTATAACATATATATTTCTTATCTTCAATACTACAATACTATATACTGTATATATATGTAAAATAGTGAAGTTGAAGATAAGTAGTCTTAAAACATTTAAGATTTTTTTTGCTTTTGAGTTTTTACACTAAGTTGAAGGATTTTACCAGAAAATGCTTGCAAGCCATATTCATTTTTAAATTTTACTACTACCTCTGAACAAAAGTATAGAATATTTTATTTTGTAATTGCTGCAGAAAAATTATTTTGATCCTTAAATAATCAAACTTACAAAAATATTGTTGAAATTTTAATAATTGGTGAATATAATAGATATATTAAGTTATTTACACACCAAACTTCACACAGATATTTGCATAAAATACAAAATTATAGCATTTTAAACAAAGTAGAGTTGAACAAAAGTATGGAATAATGATGATTAAGATTTTGTAGGGCCATCTTTTGCCCTAATTACAGTCTTAATTCTTTGTGGCATTGTAGAAATAAGTTTTTTACACAGCTCTGGATCAACTTGTGACCATAATTCTTTGACTGTCTTCTTTAATTCTTCTATTGGCGCAGCTCTTTTTTAAGAGATCATTTTCTTCAGAATATTAAAAACATTTTCAGTGGGAGATACATCTGGACTGTTGACAGGCATTCTAAATGCTTTATGTTATGTTCTTGAAACCATTGCTTAATTTGTCTAGCCTTATGGCATGATGCATTGTCATCCTGGTAGATGAAATCCTCATAACCAAAGTGATCTCCTCATGTTTTAACACTAAAGATTTTAATAATTCCAAGTAACCATCAGCATTCAATATACTACCAAGGATTGTCATTTCACCAATCCCTTTACAGATTATACATCTCCACATCATTATACTTTTAGGAAATTTTGCTGATGAATTTTAACAGTCAGGATGGAAATTTTCATCTGATCTGTATACTGATGTGCTGCCATCATTACCATAACCAATACATATTTTTTGATTCATCGGTGAATATAACTTGTTACCAGTCAAACACTCCAGTCTTTGAGTTTTCACCCATTTCAAATGATTTTTTCTTTTGTTTTTTTTTTTATATAGAGCTTTGTTCTGAGTTTTTGAGTGGTAATCTTTTTCTGCTAGTCTCTTCCTTACTGTAATGTCTGATAGATTAACACTTGTCTCTCTCCATTTTGAATTAATGCTGCTTGACAAAAATCTGTTTTTTTTTTCACAATTTAAATTAACTTACGGTCATCTCTCTTGATTGTGGATCTTGTTTCTCCAACCTATTGCTGATTTTTCACAGTTCCAAATGTTTTAAACTTTGAAATTATTATTGAAACTGTTTCTTGAGAGCAGTGTAATGTTTTTCTATTATCCTTTGTAATTTTCCTTCTTGATACATCAAAATTATTAACTGTTTCTTATCTTCACTTAATTCCCTACTGGGTGCCATCATTCACTTCAATTTTATACTTTACTATAATGACATCATAAAATTTATTTATAAGAGTATTATTCATTTTTAGGATGTTAAAATTTAATATTTTTGATATAATAATTTTTATAATAATAACCATCAACATGTTCTATACTTTTGTTTAACTCTTACTTCGTTAAGAGTACTATAACATTGTAATTTATGTAAACATCTCTATGACATTTGGTACGTAAATACTCTAATATGTCCATTATATTTGTCAATTATTAAAAACTAGCAGATAAGCCCGGTGTTGCTTTGGCAAAAGTAATGATAGCGAAGATTAAGATTATTATGTTATAGTCAACTTTACCCGTTTCACAGAATGCAAGAATTGGGTCCCCGTTTCCAGACTAATTAGAGAGTTTTTAGATGGGTCAAAAAATATGTTCGATTTCTCACAAAAACAAAAAAACTGCATCTGAGTCTTGCACATTGCTTTCTCTTAACAATTCCTTTGTTATGTAACACTTCCATTGTTACTTAACACTTCCATTGTTGATGGAAGTGTTAAGCCTTAATCCTGTCCCTCTTCCCCATGGGGAGGAATTTTGAAAAATCCCTTCTTAGTGTGTGTTCTCGTGACGTATCCTAACCGTGTACCAAATTTCAACTTTCAACTACTAACTGTTCAACATCCCGGAACATTCTGAAATGTTGTGGAATGTTCTCAAATACTCTCAAATGTTCTGGACTGTTCTAGAAATTTCTAGAGGGCAAAACTTCCAGCCCTTATATCTTCAACAGCATGCCCTTCAGATAAAAACAGGAACCACCTTCATGGATGGGGGATAGAGGGCTACCACACCATATTACTCCCTTGATCATACCGGGACTCGTTTTTGAGTTTTAGTGGCACATACATTGTACATTTACCTTTATAATATATATATTGACTCAATACTTTTGTTCAAGAGTTGTAAGATATTTTTCTTCTTCCTTTTGTCCATCTGAGAACTATAGTATACTCATAGCAAATTGTTTTAACATAGTTTTTTTTTGCCAGGTTTTACTCAGTATGTCATTGAATGTTTTAAGATAATATTATATTATGAACATTCAATTATATATTAGTCAACAATTTTCAAAATTTTATTTTTTATATTTAATTCTTTTCCTCTATATTTTAATTCTTTATATTTAATTTAATGTTTAATTCTTTAAATTATTGTTTACTGTGAACAAAAACAGTTTTTCATAATAAACAATTATAAATCTCCTACTTGTAAATTAATCTTTGAGATAATTTCTCAATCAAAACAATCTTTATATTGATATTTTAATTACTTTTAACATTTGTAAAATTAACATTTATTTATATAGCATTAATATATAATTTCAGAGATTATTTAAGATAAAATAAGATATAACAAATAAAATGAATTCTATATAACCTATAAAATGAATTTCAAAGGATGTATATTATGTGTTAGATATGAAATAATTCATTATTTCAAAATGATTTGAATGCCAATAATCATTTTCTAATTCTTCCATTTGAATTTGTTATGAATGATACAAAATTTAGTGTTAATAAAAAATATTTTAAGGAAATTCCACTTTCATCAAGTCTGAGATTCTAGAACAAGTTTTACAATTATAAAAACACAAATATAAATACAGTGGAACCTCAGTATACGTCTGCTTTAGAATACGTCCTGTTTGGACGAAACAAATTTTGCTCGGTAAACGACTTTTGTTCAGTACACGACTTAATTCAATTATACGCGCCATCTATGAACAAGTAGAACTATCGGTGTACTACACTAGACTAGACATTCACGGTGCTACGGTTTATAACTTTGTTAAATTTCTTCTGATTTTAATTTGTAAGTAACATTTTATTTTTATTAATCATGAATTGCAAAAGGGCAACAGAAAAATAAAAAATGACTAGAATCACAATGGAACTGAAAAAAGAGATTGTTGAGAAATATGAAGGTGGCACGCGTGTTCGAGATTTAACGAGATTTAACTGTTGCATTCCGTATTCCGAGAACGACGATATCGACAATCGTGAAAAATAAAGACATTATTAAATTTGCTAACGTTG